TATCAGCAATTCATATTTCATTAATCAAATCTTTTTTTCCGATGAAGCCACATTTTTTATACATGGTTCCGTGAATCGTCAAAATACCTTAAAATACACACAATATTGAGTCACACACACAATATCCTTAGAAAGTAAATGTATGTATCAATATTGAAAGAATTATTGGCCCTTTTTTATTTGAAGAAAATCTAACAGGAAAACGTTATTTAACTTTTTTCAGAAATCAACTTATACTTGTTCTTTCTAACATGTATCCAAATGCCAATAATCCAAGTTTACCTAGTGAAAATATCTGGTTTCAACAAGATGGAGCCCCTTCGCATTACGCACGTGAAGTACGTCAATTTTTAAATCATTACTTTCCCAGGAGGTGGATCAGAAGACGAGGTTTTGTAGAGTGGCCAGCAAGGTCGCCAGATCTAACACCTCTAGACTTTTTCCTGTGGAGTTACATAAAATCAAAAGTTTATGTCAATAGACCCCAAAACTTAAAAGACTTGAAAGATAGAATTAGGTATGAAATGAGTCTAATTACTACAGAAGTCATCCGCAATATAATTGATGAATCTGCTCGTAGATTTGCATATTGTCAAGAAACCGATGTATTTACTTTAATTTCGAACATATAATTTAAAATAATTATTATGCATAATTTGGTTACTTTAAAGTACATTATTAATTAAATCATTATTTGTAATTTAGTTGAATTTAAATTTAAAAAAAAATTGTTTTTGTACCTTTAAAAAAATATTTTAGATCAAAATGTATTTATTAAATAGAGAATGAAAAAATTCTCGTTTAAATGAGGTGTCGCATTATACCGATTTCTATTTAAAAAAATTAACGATGACGTCACTACACCCACACCGGTGACGTCCTCCCTACTCCATGTACGTTATAAGATGGGTATTTTATAACAAAAATCGACCTGCTTCGGGATTTCCCTCAAAACTCGACGGTTCTCGAAATATTGATAATATTCCATAATTGAGCCGTTCATTGTATTTACATATTTTAATTTATGTTCTGTTGTGATTTGTATTATTTTTTCTAATTTAATTTTTTCCCAGTTCCCTATTGGTGATACATATTATAATCTCCTCTGTAGCACCTCCCACCTGCTATTTTCATATTTATTCTTATACTTATTCTCTCACACGTTCTAGTACATAAATATTCTCCTTGTTACAGTTAATTTGCGTTTTTTTGCCTTGCTCTATTTCAGAGTATTATGAAAATCACCATTTTTTGTATAAAAATGTGGGTGTAGAAAGAATGGATTGGTGTGCAATTTAGCATATAAAAATTATGCATGGTCCAATTGCACTAATATTGAAAACTAAGAAGAAAATCAATTATCTGATGTAGAAAAAGATGAAGAATATATTAGTTTAATTGATACATTTACAATAAAATCAAAAGCTTCCAAATTTATTATAGTGTGAATGTTTTAGTTCACATTTGTTCTGAATGTTTTCATAAAGACAATACAATCAGATATGCTTTAAATCAAAATATTATAAAATTATATCAAAATATGCAATCGATTTCGAACATATTTAGTCAATAAATTAGAAATAATATTAATATTAAACGTTTGAGTAAGTTTTGCAGGAATTAGGTCGATGGGTAGAACGGCCAGACGACACGCAGGTAAAACAACACATGATGAAATACCTACACATGATTAACAAACTACACAGTCACAAAAAGGATGTATTTCAGTGTATGCCCGAATTGGTACAGATTGTTGCTTTTCATTACAAAAATATTTGCGAAAAGACAAAAAAAGAACTTTTAAATTTGTTGTAGAATTTTTATGTATAATTTTGTCTAAAACTTTATATCAAAAAAAAATATATATCAACAAAAATAGCCAAACACATAAAAAAGAAACCAGGAATAACACCAGCTTTTAGAAGAAATAACAACTTGGGCAAATATATTAAAAAAAAACAAGACCCAAAATAAAAAGCACTTACACAGTGGTCTATACAAGCTTAAATGTGGCGACTGCCCAAAAACTTACATCAATCAAACTGGCAGAACTTTTAACAAACGAATATCAGAACATAAAATGGCTTTCCACTAATATTAAAACAGATTCAATAAAACACTTCAAATTCTAGATTATACTCATTCCTTTAATGACAAAGTTCAAATTCTTCACATCCAAAATAATGGCCTTAAGTTATCTTTATTAGAATTTATGGAAATTAACAAATGAGTAACTTGAGACAAACAGTTAAAGATAAACTATAAAGTGTAAACACATACCAAAAATAGATCACTTGAGAAAGCCACTCTGCCGAAACAGCTGTAGTGATAAGATCTTATAATAATAATTTTGAGATAATAATAAAAGCTTACTCTCTGTATTAACAGAAAATGTTTGCACGTAAAAGTAAAATAGCCAATAAAGATCAAGTAACAAAAATCACAAAATAACAATTAACGAATCTCTTGCTTTTGCGTATATTCTGGGTATATATGAAATATGTCCTTTTGTGTTTGGTAACAAAATGTATCCGCAAGCGACTACTCAAGGACGACTTCTACATCAAATGCTACAGTAGTGCGTCCTTGGAGTACTTGCTCTATCTTCTCGCCTATCGCCAGCATATTTTGCATGATGTCTTAAATATTTGATGTCGTAAAGGTGTTGTATATTGAATGTTGTGATGTGTTGCATTATTGTATATACTAATTTTAATGTTGTATTCGGTTTTTTCCTGTAGACTTACAGAAAAAGTTTACAGCGAGTCTAAAATAACTTTTTATAATCTTCATGAAACATTAAACGAAAAACACTGACAATGTTTTATGAAGGGATTGTCTTATTTCTTGATAACGATTTCAATATTTTGTACTAATTTTGTGTTTTGCGGTTTAGTTAAGTCAGCGCAAGGGTTGATTGCCAAAGACAAAAGCGGAACATCGGATCCTTACGTTACGGTCCAAGTAGGGAAGGTGAAAAAACGCACAAGGACCATGCCACAAGAACTGAATCCGGTTTGGGACGAGAAGTTTTATTTGTAAGTATACAACTAAGAGAAATTAGATATATTGGAACATTTTCTTTTCTTTCAATTTATATATCTTTGATACCAATAAAAAATTAGACATAAAAGTGTCTTAATAACAAATAAAAAATTTCCCAGCAGGTCAAATATTGGTAGAGAGCTGGGGTTGATCATTACAAATAAATTTTTAAAAATCCCCATCGATTGTATGTGTGCTACAAAAATTATTCAGGGTCAAAAGTCAAAAGTTGACGTTTTTTGGATTTTTCTCGAAAACAGTTCATCAAAAAAGCCTCCAACCAAAGTTGTAGATCTTAAAATGTTTTTAACGTGGAGGCTTTTAACGACGCTAGAACTATACTTTTACTTCGACATGCATTTAAGATTCACCTTTGAAAATTACCTTCTTTTTCGCTCTTTACGTAGAGAAAGATGTTTAAATCAAAGTAAAAGATTGCATTTCATTTCAATCGAAACTCCACCATTGCCCAAAACGTGTTTCGGGTTATTCAACCCATCGTCAAGAGCACTTGTGGAAGTACAACTGAAATTGAAATGAAATGCAATCTAGTATTTGGTTATTATAAGCAAAATAACAGCCAGGGTACGCTAGCAGCGACATCTATACGAAATAACAAGAAGTCGAGAGACCTCTCTGATAGCAAATTAGGTGAACCGCAAATTCAAAGCCTCTTGCTAGATGCTTTTAACGACGCTAGAAGTATACTTTTACTTCGACATGCAGCTACGATTCACCTTTGAAAATTACCATCTTTTTTGCTCTTTACGCAGAGAAAGACGTTTAAATGAAAGTAAAAGGTTGCATTTCATTTCAATCGGAACTCCATTGCCCGACACGTGTTTCGGGTTATTCAACCCATCGTCAGGAGCACTTGTGGAAGTACAACTGAAATTGAAATGAAATGCAATCTAGTATTTGGTCATTATAACCAAAATAACAGCCAGGGTACGCTAGCAGCGACATCTATACGAAATAACAAGAAGTTGAGAGACCTCTCTCGACATGAAGCATGAACCTTAACAGTTTCTCGCCATGTTTATTCTACAATCCAAGCCAAAATTTTACAGTAGTGTTTCTGTATTCTGTAGATTCTGTAGATCCACTTCTTCTTCATCATGGTCTCTTGTTGGTGCATAAACCTGTATTATTTTTATATTATACCTTGTATTTAATTTGAGGCACAGATCAATTTGAACCTGGAATTTGAACCTGGAGACCATACCAACACAAACGACCCAGAGGCAGACCTCCTATGAGATGGACAGATGATCTGAAAAGGACTGCCGGGAACAATTTTCTACAAGTAACGTACAATAAAAAAACAATGAAAAGGAAGACTTGAAGAGGCTTATGTTCAGATGTGGACGTGAATGGCTAGACGAAGAAGAAGAATTTAATTTGAGACTAAGACAAATAACTCTTGTGAAAAATTTCTTTAGCGATATTATATTTGTTTGGAGCCGCTTGTGTATAATAAAGCTAATTCCCCCCAAGGAATTATTGTCGTCACCTAAGTATGTGGTAAAAACTATGTCCTGATTTTAGTTTAATTAAGTGTTTGCTACGTTTTCTAAGTTTGCTGAGACCGATATGTCCCACTTTATGTTTTCTAGTTTGCACTCAAGTTAAGTCTTTTATCGGATAGTAGGGAACGTGCATTATATGTTCCTATATAAAGTGTCGTCTTATTCGGGTAACTCTTTCCGGTCCTTGTCAATTTTTTGAATCCATAGGACAGACTAATAATTTATCAGTGCCTGGAATTAATTTCCTACTTGTCTGGGATCTTTGCGTGTTTTCAACTGACATTTTCGTGAGGAATATTTAGCTTTTAATCGATGTATTTAACCAGACATAATTCGCAGCAATTGTTTCTGCATTCATAAACAATCTAGTTCTAAAGATGAAAATAATTTATGGAATCAGATTATAAAAACTATTTTATTTTTCAGTGAATGTCACAATTCTTCTGACAGAATCAAAGTAAGAGTGTGGGACGAAGACAATGACTTAAAGAGCAAGCTGAGGCAGAAGTTAACAAGAGAGTCTGATGATTTCTTGGGTCAAACTATAATTGAGGTAATATTTAAATAGTAATAATAATTAGCAACAAAGCGTATTTTTTTTAAGAGATGATTTTTTCTTCTACCAACTTTGTGGCTAATACAATGAAACTGTTTAAACTATGATAAATTATATTTAAATATAAGATATTTTGTCAGACATTGTCTGTGTAAATTTTAGTTGAAGCTTGTCTCTTACGATAAACCTGTGATAGTTTTAATGTATTATATTTTTAAATGAATAATCATTTAATAACTTATTTCTCTTAACAGAGAAAATATTTATATCAACAATCGACAAAAAAAAATTAAATTTCGTAGGTATCAATTATCTGTATTACCAAAGAACATAAAGGCATATATATGCGTCAATATAGACGCATATATATGCGTCTATATTCTTAAGTATTATTGTGATCTTCTTCATCAGTGTCTGCCAAATGTAGCAGGAATTTCACTTCTATAACTTAACTGTTCATATTCCTGCACAAACTGTTGTACTATGACATGTTTCCGACATAGGTTTAACTCTAATAAAACAATAAATGAAATTAACCTTTATGATTTTTTATTATTTATAAGTGATCGCATTAGATAGAAATAGAACTTTTCTGTGGTCACATACAATATAACTTATTGAATTTTTTAAACTAAAATCAAAACTAACAAAGGGTGTAGTAAACTTTAATAGGGTTAAAAATACACATAAATATGTATTTAATTACTTACCCTTTTTAACTCCACATGAGATACGCAAAATAAACCCATCTGCTGTATCAGAATACGAATATTATGAATTATAACAATATAAATTGTTTTTGAAAACTATTTCGGAACTGGAATCGAAAACAAAAGTATGTAATTTTGATTTTAAAATAAGTAAATAATTTTTAAATGAAACTATATATTTATTATTTACTAAATTCCATGTGTTTATATAAAAACACTTTCAGACTTCTCGTTTTATCGGTGTCGTAAATAAAAACTGCTTACTTAATGTAGCATGCCTACGAATTATTTACTCAAATAACGATTATTGGTGCCAAATAACTTGTTTTCGACTAAACTGATAACAGTAACCAATCCGAACATTAATAGTCAGCGCTGGTGAAAGAAAAACTTTTTTGCAGGTAACCAATTAGAATATTAATACGGTACAGTGGGTGGATCAAATAAGCCTATAGGTGGAATTGTAATACCGCCTATCATTGAATTTGAAGGAGAGCTTAGTGTGATCTTAAATTTGGAGATTTTTTAAGAAACGTGTATCGACAACAGTACGGTATAGTACTGTAGTCAATACGGTAGTATAGTCCAAAGTATTACACTTTACGGTTCGGAAGTATGGGACGTCACCAAAGCTAATAAAAACAAACTTATAACGACAGAAATGGATTATCTTGACACGAAGCTGCGGTAGATCGAAACTAGAAAGAGTTAGGAACGAACAAATAAGAAACGAAATGAAAATGGAGCGAAATATCAATTATGACATAGAAAGAAAACAATTAATCTGGTTCGGACATGTTAAAAGAATGCCAAAGTACATATGGCCTAAAAGAGTACTGGAATGGATCCCTCCTGAAAGAAGAAACAGAGGACACCACGGAGAAGTTGACGCAACGATATTGATGAAGCAATGGCGGCAAGAGACTTAGAAGAGGCAACTGCGTATGACAGAAAAAGATGGAAATTGGGGGCGGAGAAGCGACGACAGCCGTAATCAATCCGTATTTAGCCATACGGCTCACACACCCTCTAAGGGGAAAATTCACTCATCCCAGATACCTACGGTATCAAAAGGATATAGCTCTGGTGGGACTCTTTCCATGTTATCGAGTCCTAGGTGACTTGGTACGTCGGTGTATCTCCTAAAAATTTTCGCACGCATCTGGACGTCGAAAGTAGCACAGCTTTAATCACAGCATCAATCTGTTATTATTATATTATTATTGACAACAGTTCTCTCGAAGGACTATCTTTGGAAAACTGCGTTGGCCCGAGTGGACAGAAAATGTTCAAGGGGGGACTTCTGTCCCTACTGCTGTGGAATCTAGTGATAGACGAACTAATAGGGACTTTCAAGACAAATGATCATAAAACAATGTGATATACGGATGATTTGCTAATGATCTCGCAAGAAAAGTACATTAAGGTAGTCAGAGATCACATGAATGAGACCCCAGGACAAATGAGACAATGGACTTGATATAGACAATGGACAATAGATAGAGAGGAGTCAAATGTAAGTCCTTACAAATACACCCACACAAAGTGCATAGGCCCACACAAAGAGGGAAACTAGAAGGATTTGGTCTTAAAAGCTGCGGGGACAAATAATTAAGTCAAAAGATTTGCGTGCCTAATGAATAATTGGGAGCCTAAAGAAAAATTCAGAAACGGAGAATAAAACAATCACTGAAACCTTACAGTGAAGTTACAGGTCATATGACTATTACAAGTATCACAACGACTGTAACAAGGGACATTTTTATTTATTATTTACCTTTTATCTATTCCAGACACAAATGTATAGAGAAACAAGAAGAAGTACCTTAACCAAACAGGTTAAGATCTGGTATACAGATCACAGAGGGTGTGGAGGCAGGAATCTTCTTCTTCTTAGAGTACCGTCCCCCTACGGAGATTGGCAATCATAATGGCTATTTTCATTTTTGAACTTATCTATATATCTTGTCTATATAAAGTAATAATACTATTACTTTATATAGACCAATCAGCTTACTTCCAATAATGTCAAAAATCTTAGAAAGACTTCTGCTCCAAAGAATCTCAGAAGACATCGAAATTAATTCAGTGATCCCAAAACACCAGTTTGGTTTCAGCGAAGCCCATTCAACTCTACAACACTGTCACAGGATTGTAAAAAACATTAATGTATGCCTCGAAAAAAAAAATTGCACTGCTGCCTTCCTGCTGGATATAGAACAAGCCTTCGACCGTGTTTGGCATGACGGCCTCCTATATAAACTTAAGTCATTCTTTCCCACCTCTTACTATCTACTTTTAGAATCATACCTCGCAGAACGTTACTTTCAAGTCAGATTTTTTACAGAAACCTGTCATTACTATCCCATAAAATCCGGTGTCCCTCAAGGAAGTGTCCTGGGTCCCCTCCTGTACCTCATATACACTGCTGATATCCCAACAACAAATACGACCACAGTAGCCATGTTCGCAGATGACACCGCCATAATATCCATCGATGATGACCCCCAAGTAGCATCAGGAAACCTTCAAATACACCTGAACCTAGTACAAGACTGGATGAATAGATGGAAAATCAAAGTTAACCATAATAAGTCTAATCAAATTACATTCACCAATAGGAACATCATATATCCGAGAATCAGACTGAACAATATACTACTACCAGTAAAAACAGTCACACAAACAAGTCAAATAAAATAGGGAATGACACTTGATCTCAAAAGCTCACTTGGAAAGCACACATCTTGGCAAAAAAAATCCAAATCAACATGAAAATACGTCAAATGAATTAGTTAATAGGCCGAAAATCACAGTTATCAACAGATAATAAACTTCTATTGTATAAGTGCATAATAAAGCCTATATGGACATATTGAGTGCAAGTATGGGGCTGTGCAAAGCCTTCTAATAACAAAATCATTCAGAGAATCCAATCCAAAATACTCGGAATAATTTTCAACGCGCCGTGGTACGTTAGTATCAAAACACTACATGATGACTCTGGTATACCATTCGTTGAAGACGAAATCAGCAGACTAACAAGAAATTATTTAGAACATCTGCCAACCCATCCCAACGAGGCAGCAAGACAACTACACCTCCAAGCAGAAGTCAGACGAACATTGAAGAGACAGTGGCCAACAGACTTTATACACTAATTTCAATTTTAATTTTAATTTTCATTTCAATTTTAGTTTCAAATTATAATCAAACATTAATTTAATTTGTTAGTGTTAGTATTGGGAGTGTTATCAATGGATAATTTCTCCTATCATGTATTTGCAATAATCACATTTACTAATAGCTTGTAATAGCAGATTGCAGATTTGCAAATTTAACAAAAAAAAAATAACATTATGCAAGAATTATTTATTAAAAAAATGTAACAAAAAATGCAAAACTATGAACAACGGGTTAATGACACATATATTTATTTTATACCTAAAATTGAGCAAAGTGTTAAACATTATGAAGAAAACCAATGCAGTTTACCGTGCCTTTTACTACAACAAATGGTTTTCTGCGAATTCCGTTAATCGCTTAGACGTGTAAGTTGATGGAATGTACTCTATATTAAAGATTCTTGTTTGTTTTTGTTATATGATACATAATTATCCACTATTTAAATGAAAAAAAGCCACATAATTGTGACTTATTCCCATTTAAATCGTAATTACTTTAAAATGCTACAAGAAAATAGCTTCAGAACAATAATACGATACATAATCGAAGAGATTTCAATTTGAAACCAAATACCATACAATTGTTTTTATTTTGACTGGATCTTTATTCTATTCGCAGGTATCTATTTACTTTAATATTGATTCTCTTCTAGGTACGCACATTATCAGGTGAGATGGACGTCTGGTATAACTTAGAGAAACGAACTGATAAGTCAGCAGTATCTGGTGCTATTCGGCTTCACATATCGGTAGAGATTAAGGGAGAAGAAAAGGTAAATACAATAATTGTAAACATTATCTGTTTTATTGTACTTGTATATTGTTGTATTAGCTCTTCATAAATTACCTAGTTTTATTATTAAATACTAATATAGTTTTCTTTTCATTTTAAACAACTTCTCCGCCAATATTTTAAATATTTTATAACTTTTTACACATAGTTGGTATTTGTATTTTAGGTGGCGCCTTATCACGTTCAGTACACCTGCCTTCACGAAAATCTCTTTCACTATTTATGCGAACAGAACAGCGGCGTGGTAACTCTACCGGAAGTGAAAGGGGACGATTCGTGGAAAGTTTATTTCCACGACGCGGCCGAGGAGATCGTGGACGAGTTTGCTATGAGATACGGGATTGAGTCGATCTATCAAGCCATGACGTAAGTTTAATATGTCTACAAAATATACAATGTATTTCATATCGAAATTACTTAAAATGTTGGACATATGATGTATACTTTTTAATATTCATTTTCAGTCATTTTCACTGCCTTTCAACAAAATATCTCTGCCCAGGAGTACCCGCCGTTATGAGTACTCTGCTAGCAAATATCAATGCCTACTACGCACATACGACAGCATTATCAGCTGTTTCGGCCAGTGATCGATTTGCTGCTTCCAACTTTGGCGTAAGTATATTTTTTAATTCTATAATATCAAATCAATAATTATATGCTGTTAATCCCTTCCGCTCCAGGCCATTTTTGAGGTAGGGAGTTGTATACTAGCAAACGTTTTTTAATGAAAATACATTTTACGATAGTTGTGATGTATATTAGAAGAGATATTTACCTATGGGGGCCAAAAATTTATATGACAATTTATAGCGTTTACCAGAATATTGATATAAGGATATGTGGGTGTGTCAGTATATCCAAAATTGTATATCAATTATACTACCTATATATCCACATCTGGATATCATTAAAATGTATCTAGGTTCAACATCTTGGTCCACTGCATCAACTGATCCCATATTTTGGTTGTAAGATTTAATATATTTCGGTTTGTTATAGTAAACAACATTTCTTCCTACAACATATCGTTCTCTTTTGCATAATCTTGCAGTATATTTATTGTAAAGCAGATAAACATCATTCTTGTCCTTGTAGCAAACTAGAAGGAGTATATTCTTGCGAACAAACATGATTGATGACTATCTAATGGAACCAATGTTAATTATCTTAGAACGCCTCTATTTGATCAAATAGTGCCTGAAAGAAAAGTCTTTGTTGTCAATAGAAACTCGCAAAAACGAAAGGATGTATACCAATTATCTACAATCACTTCACGATTACTGTGCAGTAGGTTTTGGCAAAGATAATCTGGTATTTTCTCGAAAAAAGACAAGTTTTCTGTTCCTGAAATGTGCGATATGTAATATATATCCTTGCCAAGATATATCTGTCTATCTATCTAATCAGCCTTAAACGCCCACTCTTGGGCATAGGCCTCCCCTGTTAACCTCCATTGGTCTCTAATTTGGGCGATCTGCATCCAATCCTTTCCTGCCGTTCTCTTAAGATCGTCAGTCCATCTCATCTGTGGTCTTCCTCTTTTTCTTTTCTTTTCCCATGGTCTCCAGTGTAGAATTCGCTTATTCCATCTTTCATCTTTTTGCCGGAGAGTGTGACCGGCAAAGTTCAATTTAAGTTTTGCAACCTGTCTTGATACATCGTTCACCTTTGTTTTTTCTCTGATCCATGAGTTTCTTTTCCTGTCTTTAAGACCGATACCCAGCATCTGTCTTTTCATTGCTCTTTGTGTTTTGGATATTCTGTCGATGTTCTCCTTTGTGAAAGTCCATGTTTGTGAGCCATATGTGATAACTGGTAAAATGCACTGGTTGAATACTTTCGTTTGCATATATTGAGGGAACTTTTTATTTTTTAGAATATATTGGTAGTTTACCAAATGAGGCCTATGCTAGTCTACTAGACTAGCCAAGATATATACTAATATTTAATATGTATCCTCAAAGTTTAGACGCCCTAGAAGCTAAAGAAAATATTTTAATACCAAGTCGACTTTGTTTGCTTTTTATGTACTATCGAAAATGGAGTCGGGCTTTATACAACATAAATTACTCATCTATTGCGAAAACTGGTCCTGGGTCCACTAAGTTTTGACAATGGTCTCTAATTAGAGCCATAGAGATGCCTAGTCTGTTAAGCGGTGCCTTATTTTTACCAAGTTCTGGTGGTGAAAGTTCATTAATGAAACATTGTAGGATCAGTGCATATATTATCTGTACTCCAATAATCTAAATTTTGCGGACACTTGGTGAATCCACTGAGAAAATATAGCGCTATAAATATATACATTCCTTTTGTTGTCATTGGTTTATAAGTGAGACCAAAAACTTTCATGATGGTGTGTGAATTATCATTAAAATATTTATCAGCTCTTTGATTGGTCCATTCGCATAGTTTGTTAACAATACTGCTACTTACAAAATGACTCAAAACAGTTTACAGTTTCCATACAATCTTGAAAGACACTAGATGGGTAAAAGTTATAGTAAAAGCGACGTTTGGGTATACCTCTTAAAAGCTTATCTTCCAACGGAACCGTAATGGCTGTCCAGCCGCTCATTTGTACTCCATCAATAACTTCTTCCTAATCCGTTAATAAATAATTGCTGTCTGAATCACTCTCGAAGTCACTATTAGACATTTCATAACTCAAATCACTTTCAGTCTCGAGATCCGAATCCATTTTTTCTGTCCTATCTTAAGTTTTTTAGGTCTGCATACTTTCCGACGACCTTGAGGATTCCTATGTAGCGCTGTCTTGGCAATGTCATCTGGGAACTACGGAGCGTGTGGCCCAACCGTCTCCATTTTCTTTTCTTTATGACACTTTATTAGTTCGTTTGATTCCATAAATTTTTACTATAAATTTGATTAAGTTCAAGTATATCTACGAAGGTTTTTTTAACACTCTATTGATGAAAACATGTAATTGGTGTAGGTACTATGTGTATCTTCCATGTTTCATAGCCATATAGTAATATAGCTTTCACATTTATACTGGAGTATTTTAAATCGTTTTTGGTTGGGAAAATCCTGTTTTTCGTATGCTATTAGGTTAATTAGTATCTACACAAGTAATATTAAAATAAATAACTAACTTTTTTGTTTGTTTTATTGATTTTTGTTTTTTTTTATAGAAAGAAAAATTCGTCAAACTGTTGGATCAGCTGCACAACTCATTGCGTATAGACCTCTCGATGTACAGAAACAACTTCCCAGCATCAAGCGCCGACAAACTGAAAGATCTAAAGTCGACCGTCGATCTCTTGACCAGCATCACATTCTTCCGAATGAAGGTCCAGGAGCTGGCTTGCCCACCTAGGGCTTCGACAGTGGTAAAAGACTGCGTGAAGGCGTGCCTACGGTCGACGTATCAATTCCTGTTCGAAAATACTTACGAGCTTTACAATAGGGAGTTTCAAGCAGATCCGAATGAACCGAAGAGAGATCCAGATGATCATGGACCGAGGCTGGATAGCGTCGATTTTTGGCATAAGTTGATAGCGTTGATTGTGTCTGTTATAGAAGAGGACAAGAATAGCTATGGTCCTGTGCTGAATCAGTTTCCACAAGAACTTAATATTGGACAGGTAAATTTCTATTATTTTTAACATTTACTCGACTTTTTTGGGTCTTGTATTTATATTTACCAAATTACTGGTCGTTCTACAACTTGGTTAAATAAATTATCTCATATCTTTAGCGACTTATTAGCCCGTTGTACTATTTTAAGCATTTAGAAAATTAAATAGCTTTGCAGTTTATAAACAAACTAAACGGTTACAGAAATAATACAATATTATACAGACCTATAATATAAATATGTAGCCCTTCGCATCTCAGGATGCGAAGGGCTACATAAATAACAATTATTCCAAGAAATGAAGATCTTGAACATCCCATTTAAAAAACAAAACTCACCAAAGTAATATCGGAAAAAAAACGAAAGTAAGATACACATAAAGGGCCAAAAATCAGATCCATGTAAAGTCAGCATTCTTCTATTTCCGATCGTATATTTCTTTTACACATTTTAATTTGTTGCAGCTCTCTGCAGCCACGATGTGGAGCTTATTCGCCGTGGACATGAAGTACGCTTTAGAAGAACACGAGCAACATCGGTTATGTAAATCGTCTGCGTACATGAATCTACATTTCAAAGTAAAGTGGTTGTACTCCAACTACGTAAAGGACGTACCCCCTTACAAGGGTGCTGTGCCTGAGTACCCGGCGTGGTTTGAACCATTCGTGATGCAGTGGCTGAATGAAAATGACGACGTGTCACTTGAGTATTTACATGGTGCCTTTAATAGAGACAAGAAAGATTGCGTAAGTTTTTTTAGAAATCTTAAAAATTATATAGCTTTATCTATTATGCTATTTCGTTTATTAAACTCAGTTTTTAAAGTAACATTTACTTAAACACTTTTTGTAGTTCCAGAAAAGCAGTGAGCATGCGTTGTTTTCTAATTCCGTGGTTGACGTATTTACGCAACTTACGCAATGCTTCGACGTCGTTTCCAAACTGGAATGTCCAGATCCTGAAATTTGGAAGAGGTATATGAAGAGGTTTGCCAAAACTATAGTAAAAGTGCTAATTGCATATGCTGATATTGTGAAGAAAGAGTTCCCCGAACATCTGAAGGAAGAGAGGATAGTAAGTTGTTTGTTATTTAAATTGTTTAGGCGAACAAACATTTTATAAAACATTAATTACAGGCATGTATACTAATGAACAATATCCAGCAACTGAGAGTGCAATTAGAAAAAATGTTTGAATCTATGGGCGGAGATAAACTCGAAGAAGATGCTGCGAATATCTTGAAGGAACTGCAACAAACTCTTAACGGCAGTCTGGATGAACTAGCGCAACAATTTGCATGCAGGCAAGTTATTTAGTCACTATAAAACTCTTCTTATTAAATAATTGTAAAAAATATATGTTATTATTGAAATATTGTTTTGCTTTAGTTTGGAGCACCGAATAACAGTAAGCGTGAAAGAACTCGCCGATCTGCTATTGGCTATAAAGGGAGGAGGTCAGCCAGGCCAACTGAATCAACCGGCTCAGAGGAACGCCGTCGCAGTCGAAGCTGACGAAGTCCTTAGGCCGTTGATGGATCTCTTGGATGGTTCTCTATCGCTGTACGCTCAGTCGTGCGAGAAAACCGTACTCAAGAGGCTGCTTAAGGAATTGTGGAAAATTGTAATGAGGATACTAGAAAAGACTGTTGTGCTACCTCCAATGACAGACAAAACGGTAAGTTTCTATTAGGACATTTCTATTAAAGATGTCTTTATTTTTGTTGCTAAATTGAGTCCTTTTATTCTTCTATTTTTCTACCTAGACAAAAAACAATAGAGTTAACCCGGCAACGTCGCGTTTTTGGTAAAAAGACAAGTTATTCCTTTTCTTCATAACTATTAGCAAAATTTGACAACGTGGCTCTACGTTTGTTAATGCTTCGGAAAAAAACGTGTTATTGAGGCTACTGAAAAAGTAGTTATTGTCACTAAAAAAATTGTACAATGACCAAGTACATTATCCAAGTAGCAAACTATATATTTTAAAATTATTTGCATATAAGCTTGTTATTTTTTTTGATGAATGATAATGAATTGTAGATGAAAGTAGATTAAAAAATAGAAACCCAACAAAAATACATGACGTTTTTGTCAGATCCGCGCATTTCGCATACAAGAGCACGTCGACCCGTTTTACGTCTTTAACCCAGGTTTCTGTTTGATTCTGATTGGAAACAGAATATAGAGAAATTACTATTTTAATGGAAATAAGCCACAAATAAAGTTTAATAATGCCAATAAACTTATTTTAAATTTCAATTGGAGCTTATTCTCATTAAAATAGTAATTACTTTAAGAGGCCACAAGATTATAGCTTCAGAAGAATATAAAGACTTGATACAGATACGAATTGTCAGAATACACACGTGATGTAGTACGCTGTAATAGTCTACATTGTGTCTTTGTGGTAACTACGTTTTTCTAATAATTTTTTGTTCATGTCCAAGTTTAAATTCATCAGTCCTGATGCTGTCCATAAACAACTGACGTATTTCCCTTCGCAATCTGCAGGATTTTCAAATTTTCCTTGTTTTAGTAACCCAACTTGTTCTTCTTTACACCCAGATATACCCAAACAAGTAGTGCGTAGAGAATACGCCAATGCCACCAGTTTTAGCTGTAGACTGTACCAGTCTTCTTCTTCTTAGGGTGCCTGTCCGTTCCAAACGTTGGCGATCATTCTGGCTATAATAATTTTGTTGGTTGCTATACGAAATAGCTGTGTTGAGGTCTTTCTATACCATGCTCTCAGGTTAGCAAGCCAGGATATTCTTCTTCGTCCTGGGGCTCAAAATGCATTGGAGTAGCTCGTATCTGCCTTGATTTCTCATAATATGTCCCAATTACTCCAGCTTACGGCTCTTCACAATGTTTACCAAATCCGCGGTTGTGTTCATCCTCCGCAGTACTTCTTCATTGGTGACTTTGTCTGTCCATGGTATCTTAAGGATTCTTCTGTATAACCATAATTCCAACGCCTGAAGTTTTGATAGAGTTTTCGCCTTCAATGTCCACGTTTCTACTTCATATAGAAGCACTGAGTACACGTAACATTTAAGGAGCTTAATTTTTGTTATCAGCGTGAGGTCATGGCTTTTGAACACAGAGCTCATAGCCAAGAATGCACTTTTGGCCTTTCCGATGCGACATTTAATCTCTTGGGTATTGTCCCACGACTCATTGATTATAGTTCCCAAGTAATGTATAGTTGGGAATTGATTATAGTTACTGTACCAGTAACTACGTTTAAACCAATATCCTGTCGAGGATGAAGGTAATTTACCTTGACAAAGTTCCATTTGGGAGGTTGAATATTGTCGTATTTAAACAAAATTATGGATCCATTTAAGCAAGTGTACTAAGCTTTTCTTCTAATTTTTTATCTACTCCGTTCCTGAAAGAACCTTCTTGTGTCCAAAAGTATTAACAAATAAATCAGACATGTTTAAAACGAGATAATCTTCTGATTGGAATATCTGTCAAATTTTGATGAGGAATCGCCTTTAGTTGTCTGGCTACCAAAGAGTGTCCTGGTGTAAGTGATTGTAGATCTTCATTTTCAGAGTTTAAACGGATAAAAGATCGAGAATTTAGGGTGGCTTCCACGTGTCTCTCCCTCAATCTTTTTCCCTTCGTAAGGGTGTAGTGGCGTCATGTGACCCACATTTTAAGTTTTTGAAGCATAAATGTCGATAGGAAATATCAATGCTCGAACAAGGCGTAATTTTGTGTTTTTTGTGATGTCAGTGTTATGTCAATTTTTTGTGAGTTTGGCTGTTGCCAATCTGAACATTGTGATTCGTCGACAGATCTCGCATCCTCCACTGTTAGTAATAAAGGAGCCTAAGTAATTAAATTGCCTGACCACTTAGTAACCTGCCATGATTCTTATCTCTGCTTGGTTATTTCTGATTCTATCGATGATCATCACTTTGGTTTTCTGCATATTTATTTTTAAACCATATTTCGTACAAAAACTCCAAGAACTCCATACTACCACAAAAAGAGTTGGTCTTAAAATAAATTTTTCAAAAACACAATTTATGACAAATTTAGTCCACAACAAAAACATCTTAGTAGAAGACAAAGATATTGAGCAAGTTGACTCCTATAAATACTTGGCCCATGAGATCAGATTAAGTCGATACAACCAAACAATCAAGCTGAAAAGAAGAATAAACCTCTATTGGGCTGCATTTGGAAAGGTGAAGGATGTTTTTAGATCTAAGATTTCAATGTGTCTGAAAAGAAAAGTATTTAATCAGTGTATTTTGCCGGTGATGACCTACGGCGCAGAAACCCTAACACTCACAAGAACAACAGTGAGAGAATAATGTTAGGGATTTCTCTACGTGATAGAATACCCAATGCTATCATACGCAAAATATCAGGAGAAGCAGACGTTATTGAAAGGATAACAACACTAAAGTGGAACTGGGCAGATCATGTAGCAAGATCAGTTGATAACCGGTGGACAAAAGAATTTTGGAATGGAGACCCGAAATACAAGCTGACAGAAATAGAGATTGACCCCCAACGAGATGGATAGATGACATAAAAAGAGTGACTACAAATTGGATTCAGATGGCGCAAAATCGAACTAAGTGGCAAGCATGCCAGAGGCTTATGTTCAGCAGTGGACGTTAGAGGCTAGTTGATGATGATATTTCGTACTCACCGTGCCTAGCTTATTTATAATTTGTTCTAGTTTTTCTGGTAATGACACCAATATAATAGTGTCATCAGCATAACGTGGGTTTTTGATTTTTCTTTCTCCTATCGTTGCTATACCTTGCCAACCCTCAAAAACTTGACATATAATATGTTAACTATATACTAAATTGAATAGGGGATATTATGCATCCCTGTCGAACTCCAGATTTGAATTTGAAGTGTTTTGAAACCACATTTCTAACTCTTACATTAGACCCTCTCTGTGGCTCAGTAGTAAGAGCGCCTACCTTTGAACCTAAAGTTCGTGAGTTCAAATCCGACCTGGGTGGAAATTTTCGTTTATTAAAAATTAGTAAATGAAAATAATTTCTATCTTTTGCGATCGGTACTCACCAGAGAGACCGCAGACGTTCGGATACAATTAGCGTCTCTTAGCAAAGACAATGACGTCGACTTCGCTAAGTATCAAGCCAATTACTCTACACACACACACACACTACACTAGGTACCTGACTGTACCATGTCAATGATCATAGTTGTCAAGGCATTAACCCAATAATAAAAAAACTCTTACATTAGCAGTATTATTTCCAAATAGTTTTTGTAATAGATAGATTAGATGTTCTGGCGTACCCATTTCTCTAAGTATATGCCACATTTTATCCCATTTTACGACACGTGTATAAATAATTTACACTTGTACACGTTATTTTCACTTGTACAAGTATTCAAATCCTCAAAAACCAAATTTGCATATCGCACAATATGAGCTAAATGATAATTTCTTGGTGCAATTGAGAATAAAGCGTTTCTATAATGAGTAGGGGCTTATTAATTTAGGATCTTTCCCAAACTTAAAGTTTCAATAATATGAATTCTTGTTACAGATGATGTTCAAGAGTTTAACAGACAACGCCAAGAACCTAGCAGCGAACACAAAAATAGAAGACATGTCCAAACTCTTCAAGAACCACATGACGGGCAAGCAAGACGTCAAAAACGCTCTCAGCGGGGTGATGGACATATCCAAAGAAGTCGAGAAGAACTTATCTCCCAAACAGTGCGCGGTACTTGACGTGGCGTTGGACACTATCAAGCAGTACTTCCACGCTGGAGGAAACGGACTGAAAAAAGCCTTTTTGGACAAAAGTCCAGAATTACAAAGCCTTAGATATGCTTTGTCTTTGTATACGCAGACCACTGATACGCTTATCAAGACTTTTGTTACTACTCAACTCAATGAAGGTAAGTAGTTTCAATTAATTGTTAAATATCTGTTTCTCACGATACTTCGATACATAATATTTGCAAAAAAAAGTTTCATGAAAGTTATTTTTCTAAATGTGCCTATCTTCTAGAGATGTTGGCGACCACATTGACCAATCTTATTCTATTCACAGCAGCTCGAAATAGATCAGTTGACGTTAGAATAGTCCATGTCCTAAGATTGGCCATCCAGGATATCCGTCTACCTCCAGGGCCTCTCTTACCCTCAATCCTGTCAATCCTGCCCTGTAGAATCAACTGTAGAAGTCGGTATTTATTATTACGCATGATGTGGCCAAAGTAAGCCAATTTTTTGTTTTTTATGGTGTTAATAATTTCTTTATCTTTTCTTAGCCTCTGGAGAATGTGTTACTTGTGTGGTGTATATATGAGACCCTCAACATACGTCAGCACCATATTTCAATTGCCTCTAATCGTTTTATGACATCTTCTGCAAGACTCCAGCATTCTACTCCATAGAGGAGGACACTAAAGATGTAACATTTAAGAATTCTTATGAGTATAATGATACTTAAAGATAAGTTGCAGAGAATCTTCCTAAGGCTGTTAAAAGAGCTTCTGGCTTTTTAATACGAGATTTTATTTCGTAGCTGTGATCCCATATAGCATATTCTTTCCACTCTTTCTAACGGTGTATTGCTAATTGTAATTTGGGCGTTTATATCGGCGTTCTTACTAATCATCATTATTTTTGTCTTCTTGTAATTTAGTTAGGTCGTATTTGTTACATGCTTCTACAACGTTATCCATCATCCTTTGAAGCCCCTGCGCACTATTTGCCAGCAAGACTGTATCTTCTTCATATGTAATGTTGTTTATAAGTTGGTCATTTACAGCAATCCCATCTTCTGATTCGTCAAAGGACTCTCTAAAGATGTTAAAGAGTATATGTTAAATAATGCCAGTGACAATATGTAACCCTGTCTAACTCTTGGTTCGACTGTGAAAATATCGGACAGTTCATTTTCTAATCGTACTGTTGCTTTTTGTTGAAGATATAAGTTTGAGATCAGTCTTATATCCTTACCATCAAGTCCTGATATTTTTAGGATATCGATTAGTTTCCTATGCGGAACTTTCCTATACTGGCTGTCAACCCTTACCTTGGCAGTTTAATTCCAATATAAATTATGTAGATATAATTTTCAGATCACGACTGTCAATATTTTTGCTTTTTAATATATCTACAAGCTTTTTATGTTGAACTTTATCAAATGCCTTTTCAAAGTCTACAAAACATAAGTACATATCCTGATTCATGTCCATGCATCTCTAAGCCAGCACATTCAAGCCGAACAAAGCATCTCTTGTACTCATACCATTTCTAAAGCCAAATTGTGTGTCACTAATCTCATATTCAAGAGTTTTAACAATTCAGCTGTAAATTATTTTCAAAAATGTTTTAAGTGTGTGACTCATTAAAGCTATTGTTCTGTGGTCTGAGCAAGTTGTTGAACGTGTTTTTTTGGGAATTGCTACAAAGGTTGATTGCAGCCATTGTCTGGGGATTGTGGCAGTCTGATATATTAGATTAAAGAGTTCAACCATTACATCAATAACATCTTCATCGATGAGTTTTCATCGATGATATTAATAATACTGTAATCAAAGCTAAATATTAGTCATGATTAATAGCCGGTAGCGAAGAATTCAGTCGGAGTCGTCCCAAGAATATATTAAAATTGTTACATTTTACAAAAAAACTCAAACAAAAATGGACGCTTATTCTAAGAAACGGTTTATCGTCTTGTAGTATTTCTGTTGGCAATAAGCCACACTTTTACTTTAAACTAAGTTTATTTTGTTGTCTCGATTTTCACTTTCACTTTTACAAAATTTGTTTGGCAAATCCCCATATTATAAAATATATGCAACATAATAATCTTTGTTTTGAATATTTTGCGTTAGTGTAAGTCGACAATTGAGTAAAGCAAAGAAATTATTTGAGCTCAAATTAATATTTATGACTTTATTAATATTTTTTTAATGTAGAAACTTATAAAACGAAAGGTAAAAAACTGCTTCAACCTTCATATCATTCGAAAAATGAATCAAAAGAATACCCTTACAACTTTCATGAAACTTTTTCGATAAACCTTGTATTTAATTGGTGTTACTTCTCCATAAAGTGCCGCTAAACAATAAACAAACGATGCTGCAAAGGCAAATCTCAATTCGAGACGAGTCTGAGACAGAAGCCGGACTCGAAGCTCTGGAAGAACCTCTGAAAGCTAAAAAGAGAAGGGAAAACGAAAATCAGCAAGGTAGTTGGTTGATGCAAATTTTAAAGAAATTGCTAGTTTCGATCATATTTGCCGACAAGTTTTTAGCGTATTTATCTGTCTTTGGTATTCACAAGCAGTATTTATTTTATATATTAATATAATTGTCTTCTACACTTCATTATTATTTAAAATTGTATTGTTTTAAACGTAACAATAATTTTAATAAACCAATAATGTGGGTGCTTACGTAATTTGTTTAGGTAAACAATTTTATCAATAAGAACTATTTTAAAAATGATTTAAATTTTAATTCATAACAAGGACATAAAAACATAAAATCCCTCTTCGTCAATTAGTGCAGTTAATATTTGCATATTTGTTTATTTAGAGTTTTAAATATATAAGGTGTAGAATTGTTGCTTTTGTAATAATAGCAACAAAAAGCAATATTTTATAATATAATACTATAATACGTAAACTTAGACACTAGAAACAACACAAATATCCAATTTTACCTCTGTGAAATTAAAGTTCCATTCAACAGTACATTTAAGAATTTAAGAATGTACTGTTAAAAGTGCATGAGCTGGAAAAGAGTTTCCAGCTGTTCTCCGTGCGTAGAGGTTTTCTCCCCGGCTCTGGAACTCAATTTTTGCAATGTATGTTACCTGAAGTCATGTTTAATTTAATACTGAACATCACAGTTTTTTAACAACAAGATGTATAATCTTTTATAACTATATGTAATTTAAAGGGTTTTTACCCATGTATTTTTGGTGGCTCAGGCATTTTAACCTAGCGATTTTAAACCTGATGATGGACTGTTTAGTCCGAAAACGTTTGTTTTTTTGATGTAGCCCTTTTAAGGGTTTTTAAATAAATATAGCCACTTACGAAGACTAACCTCTTTTTTTGTGATACGTGGTATACAGCCAGCTACAGGAATTGTTTTCCTTGTGGATTTTGATTAAAATTTATTTCTTTACCAAGGTACCATATGACAACCTTTGCTATGTAAAATTTTCGAGGAGGTGCTTATATTTTAAATGGGGTGATGGAGGGGTATAATATTTACATAGTGTAGATTGTCAATTTAAGAATAAAAATCAACCTGTGTCAGGTTTTTTTCACATAGTACATAATAACGCTAAAGATGAATTTTATCCATACATATGAACCACATGATAGATCATTTAAAGCAACCTTTTAATACAACGAAGACAAAGAACTTTGATTACATACGCAGCGAAAACATCAACATATTGTTGAAGAATATATTGATCAAATTATATGTTTCCTACCAATCAATTCTATCATAGTTATGGACCATGCCATATTAACCTTCAATGTTAAAGGAGCCAGTACCTAACACTAACTGGAAAACAAAAAAAAACTCTTAAAAATGATTAATAAACAAAGAATTAAAACTACTTAAACAATAAATTTTACAGTTACAGTTGAAACAGTATAAATTCTGATCCACGTCATTATCCACGTTAAAGCTCTATGTTGACAGTGTTGCCAAATTACAAAAAATTCCTGAATTCATATTGAATCAAATATATTACATAATTGGATTAGCAGAAGTGGATTATACAACAAAATAAATTAGTATTCAATGTAAATAAATAAAAAATATAGAAAAAGAAAACAAGAATTAAGTAATAATCTTAGGTTAACCCGGCATCCGACACGTGGGGTGTGAAAAACCCCAGAGTTCAGAAAGTAACGGTTATATGTTCAAATTTCACTCCAATCACTTCAGTAGCTTTCGAATACGTATGTGTCTACAATGTGACGCAGTCGACAACTAGATATACCGTGAGTGGTGTCGCTTTCAAGTTGTCTGGGGTTTGTCACACCCCACGTGTCGTAAGTTTATTTTTTTCCGTTATTTCGTAATTCAACGTAATTTTCTAAAATAAGCCATCTTATGCATACTATTTATATTGGGTTATTCATAATTTCACTCTTGTAAATTTGAAAATAATGAGCGACTATGAAAAAGAGCAGACTCATCTCATGCGTATGTGGGAAGAGGGTAAAAATGAAGAACAATTTATTGATCAAGGTGATTCAAAGACAGAAGATAGCATTGGCAATGTAAGTTTAAATAGTGAATAGCGATTATCCCGATAAAGAACAAGAACCCGAAGAAAAGAATGGAAATCAGCAAGCTGTTGTAGAAAGTATCAGACTAGATTGTTATTATTCTAGAAAGAACGGAATTAAGTGAAGTGAAGAACCCAATAGCCGAAATGTTCGAACAAGAGCAGAAAACTTAATTACACATTTACTTGGAGTCAAAAGTCACGTAAAGTATGCCAAGACGCCAATTGCGTGATTCCTGCTATTTATTGATATACAAATAATTGCTGACTTGGTTAAGCATACCAACTGTAACAAATCTGAAAGTTATAAGAACTCTCTACATTATGAAAATACATCTATGATAGAAATCAAGGCTGTGAACAAAAGCGTGAAGAAAGAGTCAAGTTAGATAAACTTGCTCATATTAGGGCTTTCTTCGACAGGTGTGTGGAAAATTGTAAATCTGCATATTCTTCTTCTCAATTTGACAATTGACGAGAAGCTTAAATCGTTCATAAGGAGATGTGCTTTCAAGCAATATATTCCAAATAAGCCAACGAAATATGAAATCAAGGTACATGCATTAGTTTACGCACGTACGAACTACCTACTCAATATGGAGGTGTATGTGGAACAAGAAAC